GGACTTCAACTCCCAGAGTTCCTCAGCCAGCAAAGCTGGCTGAGGAACTCTGGGAGTTGAAGTCCACAGGTCTTAAAGTTGCCAAGGTTGGAAACCACTGTTCTAGACAACTTAAGAAAATGAAGAAGCGTTTTGATCTGAAGAGGTCCAGTGCTATTGTACCTTCTTTTAAATAGCAGAGAAGAACTATACTTCCAGAAAGCCACATCCATTTGAACAGCATCTGTACAAGTATAATCTGAAATGTAACACCACAAGCAGTGTATGTTGTCTGTACTGTTTGTTGCAAGGAGGCAAATTGCTGGGAGGCAGATATTTTTCCCTTGTTTTCCTCCCCAAAATCTCCTACTTTGGAGCATCTTATACTCTGAAAAATACGATACGTGCTAGTCGTTCCCGACTCTAGGGGACGATGCTCAATCTCTGTTTCCAAGCCGAAGAGCCAGCACTTAGGCTTTGGGAGCGAGACAGCCTGGACAGCCTTCTCATTTTTCCCAACCTCCCATATTGGAGGGATGAAAGAAACGAAGGGGAAAGAAGCAACCAGACCTTGGTCCTTTTCTGCCTGGTGTGCCTCAAAGGGGAGAATGTGCTTCTCAAGACAACAGGAGGGCAGCACAAAGCCTTCCCACCCACACCCAGCCCCCTCTTGTCGACCCATGGGTCCATGCAGCGCCTCCTCACCCAGCGGCTGACCTGACGTCCATGATGCTGTTGCGCAGGCCATCGCGGTGGCTCTCCAGGTGGGAAACCGTGAAGGCCGGAAGGCGACGGATGGCGAAGCGTTCATGCTCCCAGGCCAGCATGTCTTCAGCCAGGTTGATCTTCTTGTGCACCATGGAGAACCTCACCTCTGGGAAATGGTGGGCAATGACCTGGAGATGAAACGGAAAAAGGTAGGCCACAGGGTCAGGAGAGGAAGCAGCGTACGGCCCACTGTTCTTCCAGAGGAACGATAACCCATCAGAATAGAGCTGGAAGGGACCTTGGAGGTCTTTTAGTCCAACCCCCTGCTCAAACAAGAGACCCTATATCATTTTAGACAAATGGCCGTCCAATCTTTTTTTAAAAGCCTCCAGTGATGGAGCACCCAACATTTCTGGAAGCAAGTTGTTGCACTGATTAATTGTTCTCACTGTCAGGAAATTTCTCCTTAATTCCAGGTGGCTTCTCTCCTTGATTAGTTTCCATCCATTGTTTCTTGTCCTGCCCTCAGGTGCTTTGGAAAGTAAGTTTACCCCCTCCTCTTTGTGGCAGCTTCTCAAATATTGGAAGATTGCTATCATGTTCTCCCTAGTCCTTCTTTTTACTAGACCAGTCAAACCCAAATCCTGCAGCCATTCTTCATATGTTTTGTCCTCCAGGCCTGCAATCATCTTAGTTGCTCTTCTCTACACTTTTTCTAAAACCTCAAAACATTTTTTTTGTAATGTGATGACCAAAACTGGATGCTGTATTTCAGGTGTGGCCTTACTGAGGATTTATAAAGCGGTACGAAGACTTCACGTGATTTTGATTCTATGCCTGTGTTTATACAACCCAGGATTATATTCAGGGGTTTTTTTGGCTATTGCACACACTGCTGGCTTAAAAAGGATCAGTGCTGCAGAGTCCTTGATGTTGTTTCAGCTTGGCTCTTCGCTTGCCGACGTTTCATTCCCCAACTATTCCAAAGGTTTTTCTTCCACAAGGCAACTGGACTTAAAAAAAGAAAAACTAGAGAAAGCGTTTCACTTCTCAACCAAGAAGCTTCTTCAGTTCTAACTGACTGATGGGGAATGGAAGGATTGAATCCTGGAAAATCTTCTTGGATGAGAAGCAAAATGTTTTTTTTGGGGGGGGAGGGAGGGGGGGGAGGGAGATAAAACCCCAGAAAATTTGGAAAAAGCACTTTTGGGATAACAAGGCCCCGATGGTTGAGAATCTCCACAGACATTACCCAATTAGGTAACATAATCAGTGTGAGGCTTTGCCCTGTTTTTATACAGTTGCTTGCCCGGCCAATGTTTTTGGGTGTGTGTTGTGGCCCAGCAGGAGCCGTTGGAGCTACCAATGGACTACGATAGCGAGGGACCCTATGAGTCGGCTCTGGAAGATGTGGAGGACCCTGGGCAGGGTTCAGACTCCGAGCAGGGACCAGAGAGGCTGGTTGGCCGCTAGGAGGCGCCTGAGGCATGGAGCAGCAGCGAAGGCCAAAGGGAATTGGTCCCTGACGTCAGGCCCTGGAGCAGTGGGGAGGACCTAAGGGATTGGGACCCGGAAACCAGGAAAGGAAAGCGGAAAAAGGCCCGCAAGCACCTACGACGATCTGGAAGAT